TAAGGCATTCGGTGGCTCCTTCCTCCAAAGTGGGCAGCCAACCCCTTCTGTGTCATCTGCTCTTCGTCTGGGAGCTCTGCGGAAGCCTGTTCACCTTGCGTGACCCAGGTGGGGTTTGCAAGGCCAGCGGCCGGGCTGCTAGCATCACCACCACACATAGCCCTCCCCAGCACAGTGCTCCACGGACTGCCCAAAGAACGCGCAGGTCAGCCTTGGAAAACCTACAGCCAGAGGGCTCCTTAGAAGGAAGAGTGGCGTGACTTGCTTTGGACATGTTGTCAGGAGAGACCAGTCCCTGGCGAAGGACATCAAGCTTGCTGAAGCGGAGGGGCAGCAGAGAAGAGGAAGACCCCTGAGGAGATGGACTGACAGTGGCTGCCACAAGGGGCTCAGGAGGAAGAACAATTGTGGGATGGCGCAGGACCGGGCAGTGTCTCATCCTGTCGCACACAGGGTCGCTGTGGACTGGAACCAGCTAGACAGCACCTGACACCCACAGTGATGTTTCTGTTGATGATGATAGGACGCTTGCATTGGCTAAGGGTCATCGTTGAACATAATTCCTGTAATTGATGGCACTGAGTTAGTTATACGCCTGGAAAAGGCTGAAGTGGCGAATGTGGCGCTACATGTATTTTTACAAACGGATGTAAAACAGTGAGAAGCCAACGTAAGAAGTGAAAAAGGAGAATTCGCTGATTCCCGAGGTGGACTCCCAGGAGGGGCCCGCGAAGAAGGATCAACTCAGAAGCCGGCCTCCCTCCTCGCAGCTCACATCTCCCCTTAACAGGAGCCAGCACTGCGCTGACTCTCAGCCCATGAGACAAGGAGCCTTAATGGGAGAGACCCAGGCCCCCCTTCCCGCTGGCACATGATCAGAGCAGAGGTCTGTGTGTAACAGAACAAAACATTGCTGGGTCTTGAACCATCATCATGGTCTGGGGGTACGTTTGAGCCATTCTGGGGTCCACCCCATTGAGGGTTCCTTCAAGCTCAGTCACCCTCTGCGTCACCAAGCACAATGCCCTCTTCCAGTGACTGGTCTCTCGCTCCTGATGACGTGTCCAAAGAGATTCAGTCAAAAGTGAGCCCTAGTCTCTCCATCCTTACGTGCCAGCAGCAGGCAGGCTGTGTTTCTCCTAAGAAAGAAGGTGCTGGACCATCCATAGTCCATTCAATATTTTTACCAACCTCTGGTGGTTCTCCCCCAGATGGTATGCCTGGGTCCGGAAGGAGGGAGGCAGGGAGGGAAGGGCATGGGGAAGACAGGGAAGCTGCTTCAGGGTCAGCGCGGGAAGGGCTGGGCGCTGAGCACACAGTTGGGGTGCTCGCTCTCCGAGTGACTGTGGACACCCGAGGAGGGTTCCAGGGTGGAGATGCCGACCGAGGAAGGTGAGCAGTGTTCTCCCCCGCTTGCGTTGCCAATTCCCCAGGTGGATTCCCAGGGGGGCCGGCCTGAGACATCGCAGAGCTGCTGTCGTGGCATTGTCCTCTTTGTCCCCAAAGCCCTCAGGTGGGACTGCAGCTCTGCTGGCAGCTACAGTGTGGCAGCACTGCCCTCGAGGTCAAGGGTGGCCAGGTCTGTGCTGTCACCTGGAAATCCTCAGATTCCCCCAGACTCCAGCCTCAGCCAGTGATTTCCCTCCTCCTGCTCCAGTGTCCTCCCGGCCTCCAACTTCCGTCTTCCCTTCTGACCTTCTCCCCACCTCCAATGTCCTCCCCCAAAAACATGGAGCAGAAAAAGCTGTAAGACAAGGGTCCTGTCTGTCCACTGCAGTCACTGGACAGCCGCAAGATGGCCTCCAGGTGGCCTGTGCTGATTCGGATGGCGGGGTCTCTCCGCGGCTCCCTGCATCAGCTCTCCCTGGGTGTCCACTGCTATAGGACGCTCTTGTGTCTAATCAGGGCATCTTCCTCCTGGACTCTCAGGAGAGGCTGGCATGGGAGTGCTGGCCCCGGGACCCCGGCTGGTGGCCACAGCAGACCCACCAGAGGCTCTGGTGCCACCAGGAACCTCACCAAGCTTGGCCCTGGCTTCCCTCCTCACCCAGGAACGGCTCTCCTTAACCCTTAGGTTTATTTCAGTGCAAAACGAGAGCCATCCCAGGATGCCAGGAAGCTCTGGTCTCCCTGAATGACAGGCACTGAGACCCAGTCCCAGGGGGACTTTGAGTTACTGGTGATGTCCACACTCCCGTCCGTCCAGGATGCCTCACACGTAGCCCTAGGCGGTCCGTCCAGCAAGCTGGAAGCCAGAGGTTGGGGCAGGGCAAAGAGGGGTGGCAAGCGTCCTTGATCTGAGGGCTGTGTCGTCCCTCTGCCACCCAGTGTGGCTGTCACAGAAGCACCGCAGTGGGCAGCTTCCATGGACAGAAACCTGTTTTCTCACCATTTGGGAAGCTAGACATGGGCTGGGTGGTCTATGGGGATCTTTCGTGCATCCCAGTCCCAGCCAGAGGGGCAGAACTAGCAACCTCTGAGGCTGCTCGGCTCCAAGGCCCTACAGTTCTACAGCCAAGTCCAGAGGCCTGGATGCCAAAAAGCTTCCTGGTGCCCCCAAGACCTCGCCCGACACCCTCTCCCTCCCCCAGAATCAGGACACATGGAGTGAAACAAGGCTTCAAGAGATCCTAAGAGCAAGTGTAGGGACAGAGGCCAAGCAGAGACTGATTGGGCCTATAGGAGTCAGTCACTGCCCTGGGGAATGACCACACGAGCCTGCTGGCCGGCTGACCCCTCTGACCACCACAGTTAAGCCTCTGTTCATCCCAGGGCTGTTTCCCCGTGCTGTCACGGGCCCCGGCTCACCACCCCAGTCTGATTCTGCCCCCTCCCTTCCTTTCCAAAGACAGCGGTCCGGCCAGCACCCCCTGCCCGGCCCTCCGCAGGCCCCTTTTCCTTGCAGCCAGTTCCTTTCCGACACCCAGCTCCGACAGGCCCCTCCGCGGGTCCCAACCACACAGCCCCAGTCAAAGGACCCCTGTCTCAGGCTCAAACGGGGCATTGACAGGGACCGAGGGGGCTGCCCAGCCCATCTCAGGCGCTTGGCTTGGCTGGTCCAGGCGCTGGACTTCCCCAAACCCAACTATTTCCTGCTCCTGGGCAGCCCCCTCCCAGCCCGCCTGACCACAGGGCACAATCCCCCTATACATGTCAGCCCGCCCCTCGGCTCCAGGCCAGCATGGGGGCATCACAGCTGTGTGTTCAGGGGTTCCTTGGTCCCCCACCTCCCGTAGCCTCTGCTCCAGACCCACTCCTCCGAACAGGCTCTTCTGGGAGCAGACGAGGAGACCCTTGGTTCGATCCCTGACTGCAGTGTGACCTCAAGAAAGTCTCTTGAGGGGCTTCGATTCCCTTTGTGTGTCAGTGGAGGGGATGGGCGATCCCTGTCTATCTCTGTTAAATGCAGGCTTAATCAATGACTTGGGGATGCTCTGAAGAGCCAACAAAGGAAAGGAGTCTGCTGTCCCCAAGAAAGTGCCAGAAGGATGACATTTCTTGGGTCCCTTCCCTTTCCCACCAGGCTTCTTAGGCATCCCTGCCTCTGGTCTCTTCCTGCTTAAGAGACCAAGGGGCTCCACCATGCCCTTGTCCAGAGCCCTCCCAAGGCTCCCCCCATCACAGGGTAGAGTCCAGGCTCCCAGCAGGGTATTCAAGGTTCTGAGATCTCTATGGTGCTGAGACAAAGCTAACCCTAGGCTCTCTGCAGGCTGCACTCTCATGGCTGCATGAGTCTAAAGAGGAATTTATAGATTGGTATCGGACATATGGGTTAATATCAGACTTAAAGACTTGATCTGGGCTGGGCTGGGATGTTTTCTTAATATATGATTACTCTTTGCTGTAAAGTTCTCTCTTACACATATAAGCGCCTCTGGATTTATTTCTCTAGTCAACCCCGACTAACACAGGCACTCACGCCTGATTTGGGAGACACCAGGCTGACGGTGTGGCACATGACTGAAGATCCGCAGGCATGATGCCCACTGCCTGGGCATGGTGTGTCTGTGTGTGCTGGGGGGGCCCGAGGCGGAAGGCCCACAACCATATTTCATGAATCACACCAGCAAGAGAGAAGCTTGTTGCTGCTTTATTGAAACGTCATCCCTGTCCCACACAAAGCAAGTACCCAGGGCGTGTTGGCAGGAATCCCACTGCATGACCCTCCCCCTCTGCACACCTCCAAGGACCAGAGAGCCTGACTCCATGGTCCTGTCCCCGGGGTCAGCTCCGTCAGGCCCATCAGGAAGCAGGCAGAAGCAGGGATACAGGCGCTCAGCCCCTCTTAATCCCACTGCCAAGTACAAGCCCCTGTGGCTGGGTCTGAGGCCACAAGAGGTTGGCCAATCTTGACTGAGCTGAACGATGGGTTTCATCCAACAAACAGATTTGATTGATTTCCGGGCTCAATTTCCAGTTGAACCACTGTGCTATTGGTCAGAACCGACATGCCTGGGCCTGGGTGGGTGGCAGTCCGAGGCCTGGCCAGTGGAGTTGTTCATGATGGAATGGACCTGCTTTCCTGAGCCCACTGCCCACCGAGTGACTCCACAGGCCACCATTTGGTTGTTACTGGTGACAACCGCTTAGCCAAGCAGTTGGTGTCTGAAATGACAGTTTTATGAGGAGACAACTCTCAGTTCCTAGCACAGAGCCATTGTATGGTGGATCCACAGCCGTGGGGATGAATTATCATTTGAAATTGTCCATTATTCAGTGACTCCTAAGCACTGAATTAAGCAGAATAGGGCAGGTTGTTGGACTGGAATGAATGGTTTGGAGGTTCATTCGATTTTTTTTTAACAGCATTTTATCTGTTAGACTGCTTTAAACAGACTGATGGTTGGGTGAGTTGATCACTGTTGAAGCAAGCTATTTGAAGAAATTACTATACCTGTATCCATGTATGTGTCGACACACACATACACGTCCTATACATAAAATATACAGACTAGAGGGACGAGTTACAATTAGGCACCTAAATCATCCTGTGTGAACTGACAACGAATTGCAAAACTGGGCAATGGGTCTTTGACCAAAGTCTGTTCCTGAACGGTCCAGGTGGGTGTTGGCTTGACTGATCTACATACAGGATTTAGAATGCCCCATTGATGGAGCACACATCAGGGCTGCTGGTGGGAACAAGGCCAGTGCTGTTGGACTGAGATTTTTGGCGCCCCAGAGAGTCATTCAGCCAATAGGGTCGACCCAATTGTGAGCAGCTCACAGCCCCCCAGGAGGAGCAGGCCGGCGAGGGGGACACAAGCAGATTGTCCTGAAGTCGGCCGGGTGGTCCACCCAGCCTCGGGGGCCACCAAAGCAAAGAAGCAGATTACGAGGCGGCTCCACCCCTCCCAGCACCGGGGCTGGGGCCTGTCGATCACACCTCCGAGTAGGGGGGCGGTGCTGGACCCCCCTCCGGAGCTTTGAACGGCAGAGACACGGCTTCCTCATAGGATGGCAGGACCACCTGAGAGAGACAGAGTGACAAGGACTAAGGGTGAGCAAGAAAGATCCACCTCCCACCCCGGGGCCAGGGAGCTGAAGCGCCCCCTCCGACAGGTACCCTGATGTCCAGCAGGTACTCGGGACTTGCCACGAATGTCACTATTTGCACATTTGAGTCAAATGCAGTCTGTGTCTCTGTGGGGATAGGCTTGCTGGTGACTATCCCTCCTGAAGTGCCCCCGGGTTTTGATTGCTCCTCTTTACCCTTGGGAAAACACAGGGATTCCAGAGAATGGGTCCTCTCCCTCAATTCCCGAGGGTGGACGTGTGACCTGGCCCTGGCCCTGGCCCATCTCTGTGGCTCTAGTCCTTGCTTTGAAGATGGGCATGCGAGAGAGTGACGCAAAGGAAGCCAACCGCACATGCTCCTGGAACTGTGGCTTCCTACTGGGCTCCTCAGAGGATGGATGTCGGCCGGGTGGCTTTGGCAGCCACTTTGCGGCCATGAGAGAAGGGCTGCATGACTGTGGCGCCCACACAGAGAAACTGGAGCCCAAAGGTGGAGAGAACCCAATCAGGCCCTGGAGTCTGAACTTGACTAGACCCAAGGCCAGACCTATGGTGGATTTTGAACTCCATTAAGTCCCAATTTTGCTTAAGCCAGGGTGAGTGTTTTTGCCAAGGTCACTCAAAGTCTTGACGAATCCAGTCTCCATGTGGCAGATGAGGGAAGTAAGGCGTCAGGTATTAAACCCAAGTGCACCCTTGTCCCATCCCTTAGCCAACCTAATCTTCGAATCCAGCCTCGGTGCCACGTAGGCCTCCCTTCCCTTTCCCAGCTAGCCTGCACTGACTGAAGGACTCTCTGAAACTGATTTGGCCTACTTCCCCCTTTTCAGGAAAACGGAAACCAAAGGTGTCCGTAGCATACCCACTCGATCCAGGACAAGGTGTAGGTGTCTGCTTCGGTAGCCCCCTGGATCATTCCCACTCCTGCCCACTTAGGGAAGCACTGATGAATCGTGGGCATGGCCAGGCACTCTGTGCTCACAGCCCCTGCGCTGCATGCCCAGGGCGACTGGGTCTCTGCACGCTGGCCCCTGCGTGCTCTACACTGGGGGCGGCGGCCTCCTTCTCCCTGCAGCCCCAGGCTGCACCTAGGCTGACCAGGAGTCAGAGGCCGTTGGTACCCAATGAACGGATACCCCCGGAGCCTCTCGGAGCTCCTCGGGTCTCCATGGTCGTTCTGGACCAGCCCTCCTCTTACACGTGGAGAAACGGAGGCCCACGGGATGGGGAGAGACTCTGCCCAGGTCCCTCAGGAAGCAACTGACAGAGCTGGGCCCTGGCCAGGCTCACCTTCGGAAGCACCTTGGAGCTGTTCCTCTCCTCGGCCAAGTTCGTGAGCTTCAAGAGCCTGTAGCACCTCCACACACACTTGAACATGTAGACCTAGAGAAAAGGCCCCGGTCAGGCTGTGCTTTGCCGACCCTCCTCCCCGGCCCCCAGGGCAGGCGCAGGGTGGGGGTGGGTGCAGGGAGCAGGGCACAGTTCACCCCACTTGCTGCTATTCAGGTTTCCTCTCGTGTTTGGGGTGGAGGCTGCCCTGCCATCCCATCTGGGCCTGGCAGGGCCTCCCTGGTCATGGCCAAGGTCCTCTGTTCCTTTGCCATTGAGTCTGTTGCAACTCATGGTCACCCCATGTGCTGCCTAGGAACCGTGCTCCCACGGCCTCCCAGGGTCTTCTGGAAGCAGAATTCCAGGCCTTTCTTTCAGGGCACCTTCGGATGGCCAGGCTGGAAGGAAGGTCACCCGCCAGCAGTGACGTCCCCGAGGGGCTGTGAATGACAGGCTTCTGTCTGCGGGCTGTTCCTCTGTGTCTTCCAGCGGCACCGCCGCAGCGGCCCGTGGTACTTTCCTCATCAGGAAAGAACTCATCTCAAAGCACTTCCTTCTGTTGGCTTCAGGCTCCCTGAGTTCACAGTCCTGGGTTGGCCTCTGGGTCCCACAGAATCCCCCTACTCCCCAGGAAAGATCTCTGGGTATTTAGAGACAGATCACGCACCCCTAGAGCCACCTCACAAGGAGTCCCTGTAACTCCTCATGTCAGCAATGCTTCCCTGTACCTCCACCCGGCAGGCTGAGAAGGCCAGCCCTCCCTGACCGCCCCAGAGGGGCAGAAGACCCGCCCCACCCTCCTTCTCATCACCAAACCTCTCTGAACACAGCCTCAGCTCCCATCTACATGTGGGGGCCTGAAACGCATTAAACATATGACATGGTCAAAGCAAGACTACTGTGCTCATTTTACAGGTGAGACGTGAGGCTCAGGGAGAAGGGACTTTGAGAACCAGCAACACAGTTCCTGAGGCTGAGCTGGGATTCAAACCCAAGTCTGCCCGATTCAAATTTCAGACAACGCATTGTCCTGTGCCTGGGTGAGACTTCTCGGGTCATTCATTAAGTCCCAACACCTGAGCGTGGGAAGCCTTGGGAGACGTGCTCTCTCTAGGCAGGATGTCCCAGGGGGTCCTCAATAGGTGTGGGGTGGGGGGGGGGGGGGGAGGTTGAGGGGGGGCATTAAAAGCAGGAGGGGAGCAGCAGAGGACACACCTCCCTGCCCTCTAACCGCATGGCCTCAGCCACCCCTCTGGGAGCCTAGCCCCGGGGTAAGCTGAGCCCACTCACCTTTAGGACGAGGACCGTGATGAAGGCGATCGAGAAGATGATCATCATTTTGACAAACTGACTATGAGTCAATCCCTCCTGGCTGGGGAGATAATTCTGCAACAGATTCAGGGCAGCGTCAGTTCCTCCAGTCACAGGGACCAGCACACCCGCTACTTGCCCAACTGCCCCCCCCCACCCCGCAGCTCAGTGGGCATATTTCATGCTTTGACTGATAGTCACAGCGGCCTTTGGAAGCAGGGTGCTAGTGCTAGCCCCACTTGACTGGTAAGGAAAACAGGTGACGCGGATAACGTTGATTCTCCATCCAGGTGCTCTTGACTGGGCCCGTGTGTGTCGGTGGCCAGTGGGTCACACCTGTGCACTTGGTTGACCTCAGAACTCAAACCCAGTGCCGCTGGGTCAATTCTGACTCATATGGACTCCGTAGGGCAGAGTGGGGCTGCCCTGGTGTGCTGCCAAGGCTGTGAGGCTCCTGAGACTCGAGGGTGGCAAGGCTTCCTCTCATGTCCTCTGAACATGTCCAGTGAGCTCAGTCCCCTGGGAAGGGCATCATGCTGGGTAGATGGGCAACAAAACAGAGGAGGCCCTGGAGGAGATGGACCATTGACACCGTGGCTGCGGCAGGGACTCAAACAGAACGGTTGTGAGGATGCTGTAGGAGTGGGCAGTGTTTTGTTCCATTGTGCAGAGGATCCCTAGGGGCCAGGGTCAACTCCATGGCCCCTAAGAACAACCAACCTCTACAGAAGCCCAACGCAGAGCAACCCAGCTTCCAAGTCCGTGATCCTCAGTGGCCAGTGAGGCCATGCAGGTGGGCTGTCTCAAACTGCTAGGCATGGGGCTATTTGTGGCACTACGCTTAAAGACCCCTGTGATTTCTGCCGTGCAATTCACCTGCAGGGCCCTAGCCAGAACCCATCTGGACAGCTGCTCCTCACCTGGGCCCAGCTTCCTCCTTCCTCTGAACAGCCCCCTCCCAGCTTCTTCCAAGAAGCTCCCCTTCAGGAAATCACACAAACAAGAATGCTCCTCCCAGGCTGCCCTTGCAGGGAAGCAGGCCTAAAGCACTGGGCCACAGAGCGGTGCAGTCCCTTGCCTCCGGCCACACAGCAGGGAGCCAGAGCAGAGCTGGGCCGGACTCACCATGTGGTTCATGGACTTGAAGTTGAGATAGGTGGGCACTTCCATGTAGGAGCTGCAGAGGGTCATGATGCTCAGGCAGAAGTCCAACAGCTGCAGGGTCATCAGCGGGACCTTGGAAGGGCCCTTGGGAGGACAGAGAGGAAGAGGAAGAAGAAAGGCCAACAATTAGCCCACCAGAGGGCCAGTGAGGAGCCCTGATGGCAAAGTGGTTCCCTGTTGGCTGTGATCCGAAGGTCAAGAAAGGCAGGCTTTCTACTCCTGTCAAACAGTTTGTCTCTGAAACCCACAGGGTAGTTCTACTCTGCCCCATAAGGGCACCGCAAGTCAGTATCGACTGGATGGCAGTGAGTTTGGTGTTTGGGTTGGAGATGGCGGCACACAGTAGGTCCTCAGCTAGAGGGCAAGTTAGCCCCTCACCAGGTCAGCCTCAACTGCACAAAGAGAAACCGAGGTGCAGAGAGAAGGTGTTCACACCCGGGGCTGAGCAAGGTGAGCATGTCAGCCGGCTCGTCTTGCTGACTCAGAGCTCGGTCCCCGTCAGGGGCTGCAGTTTGAAAGGAGGCTTTGACTCTGTAGGAAGGTGCTGGGGGGACGGGGTAGAGGGGTGCTGGGAGAGAGACAGACGCCTGAAGCATCTGCCTAGAAGCAGAATCTTTGGTGTGATGCTCACTCACTGCCAACAAGTCAGTGCTGACGCATAGCAACCCGCTGTGGGTTTCCAAAACCGTCACTGTTTACAGGAGTAGCATGCTGCTGGTGGTTTTGAACCGCCAACCATGCAGATCGCAGGCCAACGAGTAACCACAACCCCACCAGATCTCCATTTGGTGTGAAGGGAAACTGATGTTGCTCACTGCTGATGAATGAGTAAGCTCAGTAAGCATCCCCCTTCCCCCACTGAGTGGGTCCTCTCATGCTGGTTCACCCCAAGCCTGGTGCAGACCTAGGACTAGAACAAGGGTCTCCCACAAAGGGTCCCACCGTCCCACCGAGGACAATAGTCGGGCCTGAACTGTGGACTGGTAGTTTGTAACTCCCTGTGGATGCTCACCACTGCCTGTAATCTCCTTCATGCCCTTCCTTCAACTCGCTTACTGACCAGGGCCAGCCAATAGCCTCGGCCTCTCCAGAGGGCCAGGTCACACTCAGCAGCCATGTGTGGAGCCCTGACTGTGTGCTGTGCCTGCTGTCACTCAGTGCCAGTCTATCTAACGTATCACAACAGCATGAGACATGGTCTGTCTCCCATCAGGGGCTGGAACCACCAAGGTTTCCACTGGCAGCCGGCACTTCACACCGTCGCTGCCAAGGTGAAGTTCTGGGCTATGAAGTGACTGTTGGACCCCATCAGCCTCTCCACGGGGCTGGGGGGAAAGAGGTGGAGCCTACTCCCAGGATCACAGCCTCGGCCATCAGTCCCATGGGACACGCTTCTCCCACAGAGTCGCTGTGCATCAGGATAGCTGGGCAGTGGTGGTATTGACCACGTACTAAACCCTCCGCTGCCTCTTCCTCCTGCCATGCTGGCGGCGAGGAGACGTCAAGAAGAGGTGGTCGCAGGTGTGTTGCACAGGTGCAGAAACTGGGGCTGATTGGGAGAGGCTCTGGGACTTGCTGGAGGTCATGAGCTGGCTGGGACTAAGGACTCCCAGCCTGGATGACGATGACCTGGACCCCTTCCACCTCCCCGGACTCCCCGGCTGGGCTGGGTACTCACGGGCCGGCTCCTGGAGGAGAACCTGAGGTAGGCAGGCAGCTCAATGTAGGAACCCAGCAGGGTGAGCAGACACAGGAGAAAGTCCATGACTTGCAGGGACAGGAAGGGCAGCAGGTACTTCTCCCGGTTCTGAAAGGCAGGCCCCAAAGCTGGCAGCGTGTTCCTTGCACACTGCTTAGAGGGTCTCCCACCCTCGCCCGACGCTCTCTCCCCTTCTCCAAGGCACCTCCTGTCCCTGCTCAGCCCAGGACCCACGCCTACCCCTGCATAGTGACCTGGGTCACACCCTCTCACACTGGTCCTCTACCCCTGAGTGTGAGATGCGTGAATGTGGCAGGAGGCAGGCGTGTATGGGAACCAGCCTCAGCCACAGGGACACGTGCTTTGCGGGCTCAAGAAGCAAGGCCTGACTCAACGCGTTCCCCAGATCCCCATGGGGAGGGCTTGGTGTCCATGTCAGAGATGATAAGGGACCAGAGAGGGCGTCCTAGCCGGGCAAGCAGGAGGAGAGAGATGACCACAGCGGAGTGGGAGTGAACCTTCCCCCGGGTGGCTGCGCACACACCAATCCTTGGGTGCCCAGTGTGGTGAAGGGCTGAAGACAAGTAAACCCATCAAGTCCCCAGGCTGAAGGCACAGCCTCCATCATCACCGGGGACAAGGTCACCATGGAGAAGGTGGTTTTCTGATGTCCCCTGTGACTTGTCTAAATAAGTCCAAGTCCCTCTGGAGCAGCCGACACGGCCAGACTAGCTCTTGGACCCTTGGGATCCTGATCCTGATGCCCGATCCGATGCTCTGGCTGGAACATCTCACACAAGTGCCCGGGAGACGC